AATGTAAGTAGTGTACATAATACCTCATCTCGGAAATGTAGACAGATACTGAAAGGCCGAAACGTTGTGATAAATATGGCTACAATGATGAGGACAATAGTCCGAATAATGTAAATAGTGTACATAATACCTCATCTCAGAAATGTAGACAGATACTGAAAGGCCGAAACGTTGTGATAAATATGGCGACAAAGATGAGGACAATAGTCCGAATAATGTAAATAATGTATATGGTCAATTGTTCCTTCATCATAGAATATGCATTTGGGGCTAACATAATTTTTTTGGTATGTGTGCTTGGTTGGCCTTTGTGTAATACGAGTTTCATCCAAGCGTCAATATTTTTTTGAACTGGAAGACGCAAAGAAAGGTTGTACCATGCAGCCAGAGAAAAGAAAATATGTAATTGTGATCACAGCATAGAGAGACATGTATGCAAGCGTATGACTTTTTTGCAATAAACGTATAACAGGATTGCATTGTCATTATTATTATTGTATTTGATAAAAGTTTCCAAGTCATTTTTTAAGCGTTGAGGGAGCCATCTTGCATCGTTATGACAGTATTTTTAAGCCGATGGTAATGTTTTTACATCCCCATAAAATTTAGAATACCCGTTAAAAATTCACAAGAAAATGTAAGTAAATTTACCTAAGTAAGAACAAAGAAATTGTTAAAAAAAAAATCACCCATAAAACAAAAGGCAAGTATATATTTTAAAATCAAATCACCCACACGTCGGCTGGATGATTCAGTAAGTAACATATATGTATAAAACGCGCTAATTTGTTACGTTTTAAACAATGCAAAACTGAAAAAAAAAGTAATAATATATACTGACAAAAAAAAGATGAAAGAAAAATCAACAAAAACTATTGAAGAGTAATTTGTTTTACGTTTCTCAAAATTACATGTTGAGAATTTTTCATCTGAAATGTGGTTTTTACGACAGGCAAATAGAAGATAAATATCCAGACGACATATTTGTTTTGTGTCTTTTCTTTTCTTTCATTATGTCTTTAACTTTCTCTTTCTATTTCATTATTTCTTGGCGGCAATCGTCCCAGAAGTCACGGAGTTTAAAAATCTAATAATATTTCGGTTTGGAAATTATTTTTCATTGGTTTCGCTTTCCAAATGATATTCAGAAAACGGTGATAAATTTTAATTTCACTTATTCAATCTGGAAAGAAAGAACGTATTGGGGTGTATCGAAAGTATTTTCGTTTCTCTCATAGAACTCTTTAATTCTTTACATTGGATATCTTTTAAACTTTGTCGGGTACTACTACACCATGTGTTTTAACATTGATTATGTGATTGATTTGTGTTTTACGGCTTATCAACCTTCTTTTAGGATATTTAAAGCCAGAAAAGATTGTGTAAGCGTTCTGGGATTGCCAAAAAAATATTTGTCGCAGATTACTTCCACAACGCAGAGAACAAATCACTGGAAGTTCACACTCAAATATCGGGGGCAGAAAGAAATGCCGAAAACTCGATTTGCAGGTACTATCCCACAAATCCCAATGCACGTAACCAGTCAGAAAAATAACTCAGTCTCCGACGAACGCGGTAGCCAAAATACACGAATTTTATCTCCCCCCCACGATTCGAGAACAACAACTGCTTTTATCGTCCGCGCATTTTTTTCATTCGTCGACAACTGGGAGAGGACGCCCAATTTTTGCATATCAAAATACTTTTTATAGCGACTCTTACGACTGACTTGTTTTTAATTTAAATATTCCGTCTTCAGCATGTCATGCGGAACAAGTGTCTTTATTTTTTTGGTAAGTAATTTTCTTTTTCGCTACATCTTCCGTCGTAGGATACACGCGACGCGCTGTCGCTTGGTTTGACGAAGTAAATCGCTGTTTTCTTCGCTATAAATTGTAAGAATTTTTTGAGGGGAGATAATAATGATTTAATGATTCAAGTATTACTAATTAACCCATAACTGGGGGAGAATAGGTGGATTTATAGCTAATAAACAAGCAAGAAATTATAACACTATTTACATTGTCCTACTATCATCCTCATCTTTGCTGCCATATTTATAACAACGATTCGGCTATTGTACGCTCCGACCTTCTTCAGAAGGTTGGAATGTCTCAAGAACACATGGCACAGTGCATAAAGGCGTTAGTTAGATCCAGTGACAGGACCCAAAGAGTGTGAGTTCAATACCCGGTTAAGGCGGTGGAGAACCTGAAGAGAAGAATTAACAGGAGATAACTAACATCCATTAGACATGGCACGTGGAACTAGAACAGTCAACCCCAGCGAGCGAAATAAAGGATTCAGTTCGACATTCCGACCACCTGAAGATGGCCGGAGCGTACAACGGCCGAAACGTTGTGATAAATATGGCAACAAAGATGAGGACGATCGTCCGAACAATGTAAATAGTGTACATAATACTTCATCTCAGAAATATATACAGATACTGAAGAAATTATAATGTGGATATAAAGTGGGGGAGATCAATTCTGTATTACAATCAATATATAAACTGATCCCTCATTTGTAGCCACAATAGTTTCTATACATTTATACTCCAGAGAATGTAAATAGATCTAAAAGACATGCCTGTGTCGCTAATCAATGTTTCATTGATTGATTCATTCATTTTCTACGGCTTATCAACCCTTTGCAGGTTACTTAAAGCCAGAAATTATAATGTGAATAAAAAATGGGGGTCAATTCTATATTACAATCAATTGATAAGCTGATCCCCCACTTTGTATAACAGTAGTTTCTATACAAATTATATTAATATAATATAAATAAATCTAAAAAGACATGCCTGTGTATAAAATCAGTATTTCATACACACACACACACACACACATATATATATATATATATATATATATTGAACAATAAAAAAATATTAAAAAATTAAAATCTTCAGACACACTGGGTTGTAGATTAATATTCTTTCGTTTCTTTTATTATTATTTCATTTAGATTCCTCGACTAGTTTCGACCAAAATGGCCATCATCGGGAGAAGAAATATTTCTGCTTGCTGGTAGCAGTAAACTACAGAAATGAATGTCTTGATGGAGAAAATTAACTTTTGTCTGTAGTTTTCATTTGTTTTTTTTTTAATTTTCTTTTTATCTTTTTAACATGAATCTTTTAACATTCCTTGTGTTGGTCAAACAGTCTCTTTTAAGTTGTTATTTGAGATAAGAACTGGATGGATCTATGCTTCCCTGAATTCCCTTGGTCAGTTTGACAGTTTTATTGGTCCTGGAGAGGAGATGTGTCTCTGTTTAGTGTTTGTGTGTGTGCTATTTGGTTCTTAGGGAGTGAGTGAGTATGATATGTGTAAGCGTGTGTATTGCTGTGAGTGTGTGTTATCATTTGGCTCATTAGGGAGTGAGTGAGTATGATGTGTGTAAGTGTGTATATATTCCTGTGGGTGTGTGTATAAGTGTGAGGCCTCCACACCTCCGTAAGCATGTCTGTCTTGTGTGGGTGAGAAATGTGGGTAGGTTTTGATTTGTTGAGTTATATATTAGTACTATCTATATTATTAAATTTATGGTTTAGCCCAATTGGATATTGTGTTTTTAGACGTTGAATACACTTATTTTCATGGGACTCTAAACTTTTTGTATATATATATATATATATATATATATATATATATATATATATATATATATATATATATATATTCGTGTGTTTATCAGGTGTAATACCAAAATTATTCAAATAGTATTGCAGCTTAATTTTTGTCCCACAAAATGTTTAATATCTAAAAACCACTAAACGAATTGAGCCCCAAAACTTCATAGCCTGAATTATAAAATTATGCTTCATCCTCTATATTGACCTGATATCTCTCCTATTGATTATTACTTATTTAAGCATTATGAGCTTTTCATACACAATAAAACATTCTCCAATAAGAAAGAGGTAATCAAAGCATTTGAACTGTTTATCGCATCAAAGGATGAGAATGTTTTTTAAAGTTGGGATCTAGAATTTAGAGGGACGATGGCAAACAGTCATATATCAAGATGGCGCCTATTTCAACTAAATAAATTTAGTTATTGAATATTTCAGATGTATTTTATTCATTTCCTATAAAGGGCGCCATTTCATGTGTGACAACCAAATATTAACAAAAATTGTTGTACGGCCTATCCTTAGTTAAAATTTCATGGATGCCAATGTTTGAGCAGTGACTGGCCGATCAACATCAATTTTTGTAAGCATAATAATAATTAACTCTTATGTAAATCATTTTATTAAAAACTAACAGTAGAGCCCGGCGTTGCCGGGGATGTAACAGTAAGAGATAGATCAAATATCGACCATCATAAAGACTGAAAAATAAAATTGACAAAGATTATTGTTTAAGGTTGACGGACACGCATGTCTTAATTAGTTTTTCTTTTTGTTTGTTTGTTTTTTTTACGAATTGGTCAAACCCAAACTCAAACAAAAACATTGTTTACAATCGTTATGAGTTAACCGATTGAATAGAAATTTTCAATTTTATTATAAACAATTGTCTTGTAAATGGAATGTTAAAATAAAGAAAAAAGTGTGCAAGACAATAAGAAACACTACCTGCCAAAAAAAAGTGAAGTTTTGTTGAAATCGGTTGAAAAATGTAGGAAATCCGATCCCATATATAAAGGAACACACACACACACACAGACACACACACAGACACACACACACACACACACACACACAAACAACCTGGGTTTTATACTAAGTATAACTCGATATGAGTTGTCCCCCTTTCATTCTTGCGATGCCTCTTAATCGTGTTTTCAAATGGATTTTGTGCAAAAACAATTGTGTTTTTCCCATTTTTTTAAGCTAAAGAACCACCGCAAGGTAATTTTACGTAGTCTTGTGAAGTTTTGTTGAAATCAGTTTGAAAAATGTGAGAGAAAAACATCCAATATATAAACGTACAGACACACACACACACAATCTGGGTTTTATAATAAGTATGATACCTACATAGCACTCCTTAGGGAGAGGTTTGTTTGCCTTTGCTATCTGTCCATTTCTCTGTTTCTTTCTTTCTTTCTTTCTTCTCTCTCTCTCCCTCTCTCTCTCTATCTCTATCTCTTTGTCTCCCTCTTTACTACGCACTCTCTCTTTCTCTTTCTCCTCTCTCTTTCTTTATCTTTCACATCTCTCTCTCTCACACTAGTTCTCTCTTTCTCTTTCTCTTTCTCCTCTCTCTAACCAGTTCTATCTCTGTTTTTTCTTTTTTTCTATCTTTTTTCTCTCTTTCTCTATCTTCGTCTTTCTCTTTCTCCCTTTCACTCTCTTTCTCTCTATATTTCTCCTCTCTATTTCTCATTGGTTCTCTCTGTTTCTCTCTTTGCGTTTCTCTCTCTCTCTCTTTGTTTTTCTCTCTCTCTCTACCTCTCTCTCTCTATCTATCTCTTTGTCTCCCTTTTTCTTACGTACTCTCTCTTTCTCTTTCTCCGCCTTTGTCTAAGAATTTTCTTTTTTTGCTCCTAATCAACAACTCACTGGTAGTCATTTTTTTTATCACTATGTTTCCCTTTCTCCTCTCTCTCTCTAACCAGTTCTATCTCTGTTTCTCGTGGGCGAGGAAGTGGAAATAAATCACAGCGACAAAATATTTAAAAAAAAGAAAGCAAAAGCAAATGCAATGTACCAAATGCAAAAATGATGGCAAGGTAAGCCGCTTCATGCTCAATACTCTGTCCGTACCCCTCAAGCCGATGTAGACAAACCCCTTCCCTATCAGTTGTTACGTAGGGCAGGGTTAAAATCTGAACCTGAAGGTTTTATTCTTGCTTTTTTTAGACCAATGCTTGCTAACTAGAAATTACGAAGCACACATACTGAAAAATTGTGTTGACCCCAAATTCAGATTCGGTCAGTGTTGAGATGTTGTGAGTTTCCCGCGTGTCGGTGTATGAATCAAGACAAACACAGTTGTAGAGGAAAATACTGGTATATTCATAAAAGCCATTAACAATAGAGTGATTAGTAGAACGAAGGTTGGTTAGTACGAAACAATATCCAAAGTCTATAGTCCAACTGTATGTACCGGGTAAGCTTATCTGGACTGCTCACGCTGACTCTCTCTCTGATGCTCTATCACTCTCTCTCCAGAGCTGACTTATATAAGAGGGACCAGTCCATTACTAGTTAGAAGGTGGGTGCGCCCCAACAGTGAGAAATATCCAGAAACGATTGGCCATCTTGTATCAAATCGCACGATGTTAGCGCCATCTTTTTATTCTTTAATCAGTAGAAGAAGATGAAGCCATTCCTGATTTTAGGTCTCTGGTTGGGCCCCGGAAAGAAATGTGTATACAACACTCAAAGGAAATAATAATAATAATAATAATAATAATAATAATAATAATAAAGTGCCTCCTTATTGATATGGTAGTCCCGACAGACAATGCAAAGTGCTCGATCTCGCGGTTGCGGGGTCTGGGTAAATTTTGTCCTTTGGTCCGAGTGTACGCACTTGGGTTACCCACAGAAAACACGGCATTGTGTCACATCTCGTCTCAGTGGAAAGGCTGGGGTAACGACTAGTTCGTTGGATTTGTCGGAGATAATTCTAATGACGTCACGGCCAGTAAAAGACCTAATTTTATATTAGCAAGACCTAATATTATACAAGACCTAATATTATATAAAACATATTATACAAGACCTCTTAATATTATACATGACCTAATATTATATAAGCATGACCTAATATTATACAAAACCTAATATTATACAAGACCTAATGTTATATCAGCCAGACCTAATATTATACAAGACCTAATATTATATAAGCAAGATCTAACATTATAGAAGCTCTAATATTATACAAGACCTAATATAATATCAGCCAGACATCAGCCAGACATAATATTATACATGACCTAATATTATATAAGCAAGACATGAATATTTGAAAAGACCTAATTCTTTGGAGGCTAATATTATACATTTTGTTTAATAAAAATAAGCAAGACATTGATTTTTATGAAGACCTAATATTATATTAATGTTACAAAACCTAATATTATATAAACAATATTTGCATCTCATTAAGACCTAATATTATACAAGACCTAATATTATATAAGCAAGGCCTAATATTATACATGACCTAATATTATATAAGCATGATCTAATATTATACAACACCTAATATTATACAAGTCCTAATGTTATATCAGCCAAACCTAATATTATATCAGCCAGACCTAATATTATACAAGACCTAATATTATATTAGCCAGACATAATATTATACAAGACCTTACATTATATCAGCCAGACCTAATATTATACAAGACCTAATATATAAGCCAGACCTAATATTATACAAGACCTAATATTATACAAAACCTAATATTATATCAGCCAAACTTAATATTATACAAGTCCTAATATTATATAAGCAAGATCTAATATTATACAAGACGTAATATTTTATAAGGAAAACCTAATACTATAAAACTATATTATATAAGCAAGAACTAATATTATACAAAGCCTAATATTTCATAGGAAAGACCTAATATTATACATGACCTAATATTATATAAGTAAGACCAAATATTATACAAGAAATAATATTATATAAGCAAGATCTAAAATTATAACTGCTATGAGTGAGCTATAACGCAAGACTCAATGCAATTAATTCCCATTCCGACGGGGATGCTGGGCAGACTTACTAGATTATTAGAACTTTTCCTCTCACCAAACGGTACTAATGGTGTGAAAAGGGACGAAACGCTGAGCAGAGTGTAAAATCATTGGGGACTTGCTGTCAATTGATCTTCAATAGAATATAACTTGAATAATTGCACCAGGTACGTTTTAAAAAGACATTATAGAATTTTCAATCGTGATGTCGTAGAGACAGAAATGATATAAGTTTTCTTTCCTGACACCTCGAATTCACAAATTTAAGAGTAATACTAGATTGGCACTTAGGTCTCATCATTTTAATGTTGAAATTGCTAAGATCATTCTGTCTTTCCTGTAAAGGATTGGATTTCGGATTCCTTCTAATGTCAACTTCAAATCTATACTTCTAACGTCTCCGTCTAAATTCTGAAATTTGATTCACCATGCATTTATTTTTGTTCTCCTCAACAGGAGTAGATAGGTACGCCTATCTCCCGTTTCACACTCCTTCCCGTGCTTTTCAACGTGAGTAGAGGATTTCCTCTTTTCGTGTTTAGAAATGTGTTTCCAGGTGTCTGGCGCAGTCTACTTCAACGTTGTAACGTACCTGATTAAACACTGAAATTTTATTTATTGTTTACTTATTTTTGTTTTCCTCAATAGGAGTCGATCAGTTCGCCTATCGTCCAGTTCAGACTCTTCCCCGGTCTTTTGAACAGGAGTAGAGGTTTATCCTTCGTTTCATATCGAGGATTGGGTTAACGGTTTCTTCTAAATTCTACTGCAACTCGATACTTCTAAAGTCTCCATCGAAACTCTGAGATTTTTATAACTATCTACTTTTTTCTTCTCAATGGAATAGGTTCGCTTATCGTCCGGTTCACACTCCTCCCCGGTCTTTTGAAAAGGCGTAGAGGTTTTTCATACGTATTTTTTTGAAGATTGGGTTTACGCTTTCTTCTAAAGTCTACTTCAGCTCTATACTTCTAACGCCTTCGTCTAATCGCTGAAATTTTTATTTAAAATCCATTTGTTTTCCTCAATAGGAGTAGATAGGTTCGCCTGTCGCCCGGTTCACACTCCTCGCCGGTTTTTATGCTCATTGTTTCTTCTCTCGAACTTCTCGATTGTGACACTCTCTTCCGGCTTCTTTCTTTCCTGTCGACTCTGAACACCATAAATTTAAACGCTGCGTCAATCGTCATCTCCTGACTCCATGAATCCTTGTCTTTAAATTATCACTTCCTCTCCCCCTTCCCCGGTACCTCTCCTTCTCGGTCTTTCTCCTCTTAAGTCTTTCTCAGTTTCTTTCACTCTCAGTAACCCCCATGCGTCTTAGGGGCTTCATATCCTTATTTGGAATGAAATGATTAAAAAAATAATGAAAAGAATGTAAGGACATTGAAGAGACAAGATGTCTCTTGATCTCCATTAAATGTTCAATGTGTAGAAATAATAACAAGATGAAGAAAACAGAACACAGACAATCCATCAAAACATCTCTTATGATAATAATAATAATAATAAATGTCCTGATTTTATACAATGCATGGCACACAGCTTCTAATATTAACAAATTGGAGCGTTAAAATATACATTATGATCGAATAAGATGGGTTACTGTAAATATCTCATTCAGTACCAACCATTTGCTTGTTAGGTACCTCAGCATAACCAGATGAGCATGTCTCTTCGGGGTTTATCCTTGTCATCAAACCATCTCTTATAGTAATAATAATAATAATCCTTGCCATCAAACAATCTATTATAATAATAAAAACCATAATAATAATAAATGCCTAGATGCTACACCAGGCTTTTGATATTAACTGATTGGAGCGTTAAAATGTACATTATGATGGAATAAGATGGGTGACTGTAAATATCCCATTCAGTACCACACATTTGCTAGTTAGGTACCTCAGCATAAGCAGATGAGCATGTCTCTTAGGGGTTTATCCTTGCCATCAAACCATCTCTTATAATAATAATAATAATAATCCTTGCCATCAAACAATCTATTAAATAATTGTTGTAGCATACCTATGAACGATAATGGGTGTGTCCCCATTCACATAAATACAGTAGTAAATACTGTATGTTGGTCTGCAGTTGGAGATTTGTCTCCAGCTGTGTTGTTCAAACTCTCTGCCGCCGGGCAAAGAGGATCTCCAAACGAGGTTATGTCGAAGGGCAGAGTCTCGTCTCGGGAAACAGCTACCTGTCTCCGTTTTATATGAGGTCTACGGGGAATTTTTGGCCGAGCATACGGGCTCGTATGCCTCACATTAAATTCTGCCTTGTGTCACATCTGACCGCGTGGGGTGGTTGGTAGATATCCTACAGTCGGAGATTCGTCTCCAGCTGTTCTGGTCAAACTCTCTCCCTCCGTGCACAGAGGATCCCCAGACGAGGCTATGTCGAAGGGCAGAGTCGCGTCTCGGGAAACAGCTACCCGACCCTGTATTATACGGTGTCTACGGGCAAATTTTGGCTGAGCCTACGGGCTCGGATACCCCACATTAAATTCGACCTTGTGCCACATCTTACCACGTGGGGCGTTGGTAGATATCCTGAAGTTGGAGATTCATTGTGGAATTCACTTGACCCACTTCTAGCAGATGACTACTACTTCTACGTGCCGCTGGCGAATCTTTTATGTGTTGTTCTTGTCCTAAGTGTTATCGTTAATTACCAACCTTCGTATAATTATTCTATTCAGTAGCCTTCCCTAGGTTAAAACTTTGATAAAAGCCATAATAATAATAATAAATGTCTAGATGCTACATCAGGCATGGCCCTCATGGCTTTTGACATTAA